ACCGGCAATCGGTTACTATTGCTATGATTTGTTTCCTATGAATAGCTATGAATTGTATCAATACTTATACATCGCTGGTAGTAATTATTTGTTAATCATATCTTTGTTTTAAAATAAAACAGATAATACTTTATTTAATAATAAATTAATAAAAATGTATTTCTTGTATGAAATATTTATTGTTTCTTGGTGTTTTTTGCAGTTACCAAATATAGTTGAACGATTGGGTAGAAATAGGTAAGGTTTAACTGTTAACATTTTTAAAAATTAATAAGTTTCGTAAGTATGCGGTAGGTATACCGTAGAATTGCCTCGGATATCCTTGCTTAGAATTATGTAAATATTTTTTGTATATTATTATTTTCATATTATTTCTGTTTATTTGGAAAAAACAATATAACAATAAATAAAGTTAATTATTTATTATTTAAAATTATAAATAACCTTGTGACAATATATTCACTAGCAAATACTAATATTATATTAAACTACTGTACTTACCAGGCTGTTTGCTTTGTTTGTAAACATTTTTTTAAAGAATTGTGATCAAGCTATAGTAATATTTGTGATTAATGAGATATCATAGTAATAAGTGGTATAATCCAATCCATGATGTCTTAAGACATGGCTGAGTATTGTGGTAACAAAGGGGACCTATTCGCCAAAATAGTCTCCACTATATGAAACTCTATGGTATGAATACATGTGAAGTAATGCAGTGTTGAAAAAGTGTCAAAACATAGCTTTTCAATGCTCGCGCAATGCTTTTCAATGGGAAAGTGTTGGAAACTATTTTGACGGATAGGTCCGCTTTGTTACCACAATACTCAGCCATTTCTTAAGCTATCATGGATTGGATTATACCATCTGATAGCTTGTTTATCACTGCTTACAATGATATCTCATTATTGATAACTATTACTATAGTTTGATCACAATTCTCAAAAAACAAATGTTTGCAAACGAGAGAGAGAGAGAGAGAGAGAGAGACTATTTATAAGAGAGTAAAGAAAATAATTATATAAAAAATTCTTGAGATGTCTTAACAAACAGTGTATTTCTGGTGAAAACACGAGACAAAAACAAAAACTACACAAAAAAAGTGCAGACTTTTCGTACGAAACGACTGCTTATCTACTGTTTAAACAGCTGTTAAACGGATTGACAAAACACTGGAGAGAGAAATATAAGACACGAAATACACGACATTTCTCTCGACAACTAATTTCTGTGTAACTCTTGTATACAATATTGAGTTCAATGGAAATGGACTTAAATTTTGGGTTTCAGTGGAAAAACAAAAAAAAAGTTTTGATACAATAAATATTTTTCATTTTTGTATGTTATATTATACCAAGCTTATAATTAAATTGTTATTGTAAATATTATTTTTAATATAGGTTTATCTAAGACAATGTTATTATTAATAACGTAGTGTACATTAAATTTTAGAGTAACTTATTGCTTAAAAAACTATAACTTATAATAATAATAATAAATTAAAAATTATATCATTTTAAAGCCTTGTTTTCAGACAGTAAATTAAAAAAGAAATGATTTCAATTGAATTTGTTATAAATAAATAATGACTGATAAACGAGAGGTAGTCTTGATAAGGGGTTTGCGAGAGTTTCCCATTGAATAGCATTGCATGGAGAGTGCGTTTTGTCAAAACTCTAAAACACATACATTTTTATAATGGGGTTTTGCATTGATGGCAAAAAGGGTTTGAAGACTACCTCTCGTTTATCAGTCATTATTTATTTATAACAAATTCAATTGAAATCATTTCTTTTTTAATTTACTGTCTCAAAACAAGGCTTTAAAATGATATGATTTTTAATTTATTATTATTATCATAAGTTATAGTTTTTTAAGCAATAAGTTACTCTAAAATTTAATGTACACTACGTTAATATAGTAATGTTATGGTGTTATAATTAGGAAAATAAATGTCTGGGAAAGGGGTATATCCCTGTTAATGCACTTTAACAATGTCGTACCGATTGTCTAGCAGATTAGTTATGGATTAATCTAAATTTAAAAAATTTATTTCGAAATGTATATAAAATGTTAAAATTATTTTATATGAAAAAAGATTTGATAAGAATCTCTCATATAAAACATAAACCCAAACATCATTACAGAATGAAACACATACTGTAAATGTGTTTTTGATTTATTTAATTATTTAAAAATGTTAACAGTTTAAAAAAGCTTATGCATTATGTAATAGAAATCATTATAGTTATGATAACATAGAAAAGTTTAAATCGTTTTTTATTATTTATGTAAGAGATTGTTATCTCTTAACACAATTTGAATTATAAGATTAAGCACTAATCTCTTGGGTTGGAAAGGGATGGAAAGGCATTCATGTATTTTAACTGTTTGAATTATTATATTAAATGAATGTAATTGTTAATATAAAGCTTAATTCAACAATTTTTGTTGTAATGCTAATTTGTATTATAGTTTTCGTTGAAAGCTTGTAAAACTTTCTACATATTCTAGCCTATAATTAAAAACTAATAAAACATGTATTTAAACCAGTACAATTATATTTACAATTAATTTGGGAAATAAAAGAATAAATTTATAAAATATCAGAGAGAGAGAGAGAGAGAGAGAGAGAGAGAGAGAGACTAATAAAAGAAATGATTTTTAGTTATATTAAAAATCTTTTAAAATAATGAATAATTTGTTATAATTTGCAATTCAGATGCAATTCTATCAATTGACGCGTTTGTTATACGACTACATGCCGGCCCTCTACGAGCACTTTGAGCGGCACGACATCTCGCCCACCCTATACGCCGCCCCCTGGTTTCTCACACTATTCGCATCACAGTTCTCCATATCATTTGTCACTCGATTGTTTGGTAAGTACACCCCTGACCCCCAATCTCACCAATACATACATATATAAAATCAAGAATTTAAGTAATTTTACGGAATATTCTGTGCATTTATATCCAGATATTCTGTTTCTAATGGGAATCGAAGCCATATTCCGGGTATCACTGGTGCTGTTGGACACCAACAGTGAGGCTCTACTCGGGTGCGACGGTTTCGAGACGATCATGGAGTACCTGAAAGAGGTCGTCCCAAACATGGACGTACTGGCGATGGAAAGCCTATTTGATCGGGTGTTCACACTAGACATCGGCGCTAAACTCAATGTCTATGAAGTGGAGTACCGTGTGTTTCAGGAGGAACTCATACATATGTCCAAAAGCACCGGTAGCTCTAAAATTATAGTTAATCGTAGGATATCTAACGAGTCGACAGACAAAGGTCAGCAGCACAGGGATCAGGTCCAGGAGCTGGAGTCTCAAGTGCAGATGTATCAGTCAAAGTACGTACAGTTGCAGTCCCAGTGCGACACATACCTGTCCACAATTCGACGCCTGGAGCAGAGGGTGAGAGCGTGTGAGGACGAGAAGGATGCGCTCGTCCACAGTGTCAGTGCTCTCCAGAAGCGCAACGAGAAACTAGAGCTCTTGGCCAAGACTGCCGGCGCCGCCGATAATAATGATTCAGACCTGGAGTCCAAACAAAAGTCCAGATCCGGTAAGCTATGAGTGATTACAATATAAGCCGGGTACATGTAAGCCGGGTAATATGTTCAATACAAATAAGTACTCATTCATTGACAGAGCGATTCAGTCTGGAGTCGGCGCCGGTATTCAGTATAAGCCGTGCCTCGGAATCGCGCGAAACTCACGGCTCGGCTAACGGTGCGGATCCCGAGGGGGACGACGACGATGAGGACGAGGAGGGACTGGCTATAGGCGATGAGTACGACATCGACATAAACTCGGACTCCGATTGCGGCGACAGAGACCCCGATCATCGACAGACTAGCGGTCAGATGGACCGCACGCACAGTGACACCAGTAATCTGAGTATTTAAAGAGGGACTGGTAGTGTGTACAGTGTTTTGTGCACTATATTCACTCAATTAATGAATACCTTTATATTTATAATTTATTTTTTAGTTTTAGATTTTTGTTAATTATTACAAATATGATATTATTTATATTAATTAGGATTATTTGTTTGTTAGATAATTATTGTAATAATAATATTATTATTTGAGATTCCGTGAGGGTCTGAGCCTTATTATCGGGGTAACTCACAGTTAGTCGTTGGTTATTTATGTTTTAGTTATTATACTTATTTATTATAAATCTATAAATCTCATGCAAGTGAGTGACAATATCATATGATATAAAGTACAGTAAATGAAATTATATATGAATTTAAAGTGTTATAAAATTATTATTCTTGTATGTTATGAGAAGGGTACATTTGGGAGAATCGAGAATGCGTTACAGTTTAGTATTATTTATTACGAGTACAGAATATTCTTCACATGAAATATATTTCAATTCTATGACTTATGAATGCTATGAATATTATTATGAAATGTTTAATGAAAACTAATTAAAAGATATATTTTGTGAGGCAAAAGAGCATCCGAATGAGTGGTCTATTGATTATATAAATATATTTATGGATATATTATATTAAATAATGTTTTATATAACGAATGAAGAGATATATTGTATTTTGAATCTATGAGAATATACTGTATGTACAGAATATAGCGATCTTTATTGACACTACCGTTAGCTGCCATACAAACTGACAAAGTTTTAATTTAATATTAATATATTTTTATTATATAATTAAATATCAAATCTGATAAAAGTATACAATAGTTATAAATGCGACTGAAATCAATTATAACAGAGTATTGTTTTTGTATTTATTCAGTATATACAGAATATTCTTGTAATGAGTGATCCGGGTACATGAACATTAAGATATGGATTTAATTTTTGCATGATTAATTGATTAAATGATTATGCATCGAAAGATTTATTATGCTTATAAACTATGAGTTAATATACATATTTAATTTCTACAATTATAATCATTATTGATTTCTATAATCAGTAGGTTAGTTAGTTATTAATTAAATTATTACATTTAATTATTATGATATACAATCTAATTATACATTGCATTTTACATTATAATTATATATTCATTATAAGTTAATTAAATCACTGTCCCATAAATTAGCCATTCAATGCAAATATATTGATGTATATTATTGTAAATTAATAAATTATTTAACTTAACTGGCTTATCAAACATGTGTTTAAATGGGCAGCAATTTAATGGCTTATAGTGTATATAAATTTAATAACTTATATTTAATTAGTAGATGTAGAAATTTTTCATATAATTAATTATTATATAAATATATAATTATTGTAGATTATTATCAATTATTAATGTTATAGTATAAATCATATTGTATATTATACTATAAAAACCTTATTGTAAAATAAAGTGATATTTGATTATTAAAATTGAAGTAAAATGAATATATTTAATTTTTTATTAGCTTTATACATATATTTTGTTTAATAATTTGCTTAACAAATCTGTTCATTATGTTACAAATTGACAAATTTAGATTTTAGTTTTAACTACTCTCAATATATTTTAGGAAATTTATCAAGTAAATTAATATAACGGATACTAAAATATATCCAAAAACACTACAATTACAATAGATCTATTATAAATCGTGAAATCCAATACTAATTAGATTTTAATTCAATTTTTAATACGAATATTGAGATTGAAAAGTAGAAAATATGAATATGTTATTAACAAAAATGTTAATTAAATAATCATTAAAATGCATATAACATAAAAGATAAGTGATATAAAAATAAATATAACATAATATTTATTGATTTTATATAAAAATTATAATTAGTTATATCTTTATTGATTTATATAAAGTATTACTAGAATCAGGTTAACATAATATTTGATACTGAAATATAGATAAACCTGTTACATTGTATATTTCTAATGTTAAAATCAAACTCGAGTTTTAATATAAATAAAATAAAATAAAATAAAACAATTTAATTAAAATAAAAATCCTAATTATAAATAAAAAACTTTTACTTGTCTCTATAATTAGTAAAACAATTTAATTTTGAGTGAATATAGAAAGTTTATAATAACATGTATGATGGGAATGGCAGTGTTTTTATGGGGACTGGGATTTTCTGAATAGTTCAAGTTTAGTGATAGTTTCGTATTATAAAAATATGTTACATAAATAAATCTTTTAATCAGTTTAAATAATGTGGGATTTTAAGCTAAAATTTTCAATGAATGTTTTACTATTACAGTACAGTATTAATAAATTTTTCATTATTCTGCTTGTTTTTAAAGTTTTAATTATCTTTTTTATATAATTCATGAGATATAGATAGATATATATAAGTTATACTATAACTCTTGAAACTAATGATTGTTTAAAAAAGATTAATAGATTAGAAATATATTAGATTTTAGAAAATAAGTGATTTTTTGGTAAAAATCTGAGGTTTAGTGACATTTTTTGGGAGCATTTATTTGCGGTACGAATACTATTAGGAAAACTATGGCTACATATTTTGTTGAATTACAAAAACTGCCATTTATTTTGTGAAAGACATCATTTAAGTCACATTTAATACACTGATAATTAATTTTACAGGTATAGTATTTTAAATCATTTGAAAAAGATTTAGATAGCAATCAATTAAGAAGTTTTGGGATTAAATAGAAATTAATAGACTTTGGTTTATAAACACATATAAAGTATTTCTTAGTTTATATTGGGAATTAGTTTTATATTTCAAATGATTTCAATTTAATTATATAAAACTTTATACAGAAACTGTATTACAAATATTGTTTATAGGAATTATATTTTAGTGAATATTAATATTTGAATACAGAATTTAAATAAAAACAGTATTTTTCAAAAATTCTGTAAATATTGATATAAAATATTGTGTATAAATATTGCAACTAATATAATTTTATAAAATTGTTGTTTAAATGATAAAATAAACTGTAAATTAAAGTTTTTAAAAAACTATTATATTTAAAAATTTTAATCATTGAGATATTGGCAACGTTTTATATAATATACTTTTTAAAATATGATATTAAATCATTTTAATTTATTTATAAGAAATTTTACATAGTACAGTATTTGTAAATACCATATTTGTGTTTTATATAAGACATTGATATTAATTGGTTTATAGATTTTAATCTCTCATTCATTCATTAATCTCTTTCTATTAAATTATTTTAAACTTTTATTTAAAAAACAGTTTTATTAAAAATTATATATTATATGTAAAATATCAATCATAATTAAATATTAGAAATATATTGACAAAATTATCATATACTAGCTTACTGAAAATAGACTAGATAAGATTTCATTAGAAAATAAGATAGATCAATTAATTATAAACCTTAAAGCGTACGTACAGGCAAATATTAAAGTACGCACTAATTGAACCACGCCTATTTTAGCAAGTGTTTGTGCTACCGGTGCCCTACCTAACAGCTACCGAACCATTACTATGACATAACACTGAATGCCTATTAGATTGAGAAAAGTGAGAGTAAAAAGTGCACCGAAGCAAAAGCACTGGTAGCCTACTGGTCTCCATGGCGACCCCATACACACTAACATTACGATTATATTACAGTTGATATTATTCCGCACATAATATACACTCACTTATTATGTATGCATTGTTTGTGTATTGAGTTGCGAATTGGTGTCCAAACACTGCATTCATTCATATCTCGTATCAATTCATTAGGAAATTGTTGTCATTTATAATTAAAAGAGATTTTCTATATATATTTCACACCTCAATGTCCGCTACTGTGTAATATCGCAATTGTCATTTTGTGATTGTGCTTGCTACAACAGCATATTCATTTGGATTGCGATTTATTTAAAAAATTGTAAGTTATATTTAGTTATATTTCATATAAAATATGTGATAAAATGTATCATTTTATTCAGTGGATTAAATTTATTAAAATATACTGTATTAATATTTTATTCCTATTTAAATCATTTGTGCCGGAATATTTTAATATTAACATACAGTACATTGGTGATATGCATTAACAGGTGTTAGTAGCTTATTAGTACATTTATTGATTATGTATTTTATATTTAGATAATATACCTGTAAATTTATATTAAACTACATTATTATAAAGTATTGTCATGGTTATATTTATAAACGCTATTACCATATATAATATGTAACAAAAATTTAATAGCAAAATAATTGACTGGGTGTTTGATATATTTGTTGAAGGTTTAATATTAATATACATAGTGTTTTAGACAAGTAACATACTATTTACATATCTAATTTATATTGATATTTTATAAATAAAATTATGAATTAATGTCTGAAAATTATTTAATATTAAAACCATTATAAAACTTGGTTTAATAATTTTGATTATAATATTTTTTCAAACGTATTGTGTTTAAAATTTTAATATTTAAAAATAAATTTATGACTAAACTGACTACAAAATTAATTGTTTTCATGTGGCTTATGAGAAATCGTAATAACTTTTGTTTTCACAGTAGTTACGGCACAATAAATATAAGGCTCAAGGTTTTTGACATTCACTCGAGTTTTACACTTAATTTGGTTTATGGCAACACATTTAAGTGAATATTTTAATTGTGTTTTAACTTTTTTGGGTTTTCTATGAAAATTTTAACAATCATTTGTATACAAACTGTTTATTATGTTATGCATTGTGTTGTATTCAAAACCACTAAATATAATATTATTTTTTATTGCAAAAAATTATTTATTTTATGATTTTATAATAACTTTTGTCACTAAAATATTATACGGTATTTAATTTATAATTCTCTCTCTCTCTCTCTCTCTCTCTCTCTC